CCATGCATTCCAGCCTGGGCCCCAAGCTCCGTGCACCCCCAGCTGGGCAGCAGCCCCAGCCCTGCCCAACTGACTCTGTCCGTATGGGGGCCTCAATCCCCACCGCCTCCTGCCCCCGACTTACCTGTGGGAGCTGCTGTCCAAGCTGCCTGGCAGCTATGTGCATATATGTGCACATGGCGCCACCTACCTGACTGCCCTCCTCCCGCTCCATTCCAGCCCCTTGCACGCTTGAACGCTGCAGAGAGCTCTTTGCAAAACTGCACAATCTGTGGGTCTCTCTATGAAAATGAGAGATCCATATTTTCCTTGGGTAAAGATGGGGTGGGGAGGATCCACATTTTTCTCCATTTTCTCATGGGAAACAGAAAGCCTGGAAGCCTGGCAATCATAAGATGAGGCTTGATTTCTCTCTCCCTCTTTCGCCCCCCACCTCCTCCCCTGTTGAATGGGGAGGGGGGCTTATTTTATAATTGAGTAAATATGGTAATATTTTAGAGGCATATTGTTTTAGGCAGAAACTATTCCCAGATTAAACAAGGATCTGAACGTGTGAGGTCTGAGATCAGATCCAAGTAAGGGGTTTCAAAGATTTTGCATGGCCTTGTTTTAGTAGTTTGTTTTTAATATTTCCCATTATCCCATGGACTGGATTTTGAGGAGACTGTGTGATCATGGTAGATGGAACTGCAGCTGCAATGAGACTTTATGTTTGATTTTATACTCAGTAATGTAACTGCGGGGGGAGGGGCAGTAACCCATGCATCCTAGCTACTCAGCTATGCTTCTACTCATATTATTTAGTTAGGGAGATTTCTCTTCTCTATGTAATCTGGGAAGGATAGTTTATGAGGATGCAGAAGTTAGCAGATGAAAGGACAGTATGATTACATGAGTTCAACTTTTAATTCTGAAAATTGTTATTCTTGGGTCTTGTGAAAACTAGCTCCACAGTCTGGTTCAGCTTGGGAAACTTGTCCCCTGGACTCTGAAGTCTCCTTTTGTTTGACAGTGTCCTTGTTTTAATAGAGCGCAGTCACCTTAAAAGGTCATGGATACAGAGGAAAGAGATGATTGCTTTCAGTATGTGAGGCCAATTGCTTTGAGGGCTTTGAATAACAGGGTGGAGATTGAACTGGGTACTTACTGTATTCAAGGGAGAGTCAGTATGTCAAATGGATAACTGGAGTGGTGTTACTCTGTGACACTAGTTTCTAAAATGGCATTTAGTTCTAGATCTTGTGGCTCCATTCCTAGATGTAAGGTACAGCTGATGCTTCCCGAAGCCTATTAATGATGCCCTTGCAGTTGCAGCAAGTGGACCTCACCACTTCCAAATGTTCAAATTCTTACTTTCATTCTCCTCCTGAACTTTCCCACATATCCTTCCCAAAAGTAGCCTGATTGTTTGTATCTCAGATTTTTGATCCAGTTTGGTAGTTTCCCAACAGTATTTTGAATTCCTTTTGGGTTTTGATCTTGTCTGATATATGCAGCAAACACCTCAGACCTTCCTGCTACCTAATGGCTTTAACCTTTGCTCTCAACTGCCTGACTTACTTCAACTGCCTCCTATTAACAGAAAATTGTGCTGATCCATTCTTACAGTTCCCATTTTAGTGAATTGCCAATGTTTTGAAAATGTCTTCCACCTGAATTAGCATTTAAAGATTCAGGGGCTTAATTGCAGAGGTGACTGGTGTCTTGAGTCTGGGGGTGGGAGGCCCCAATTTGTGGGTGGGCCTTGGGGGCAGGCCTGGGGGCAGGCCAAAAGCCCTATATCCACTCCTATACTTCTGTGCTTAGTGCCCCACCCCCAACACGCTGTTGACCCTCATGACAAAAAACCTGCTCCATCCTGAGCGGTGCCGATTTGGGAGC